CAAGCGGCTTCCCAGGTAAACAAGATGTGAATCTACAAGGAATTTAGTAAAGTACCACACCGGCAAGCCTCCGGAAGGCACGCGTTGGTGATCGTAAGTTCTGACGATATTATCTACTGGTCACTCTTCGATTCACCATTGCTATCAGGAGCAGACCTCAAGGTCACCGCGAAATTTATAATCGAATGAGGATTCTTGTTTACTTGGCGTTGTTGTACCGCATGTGCGTAGAGCAACCAGTTACCAAGTTGAAGGTACAGTTTAGTGTAGTGCGAATCGAGCAGCGAAGTGTCACGCTTGGCAGTCAATATATTTCCGGCGGTGAACTTTCATCTCCACTACTAAAGCGCCTAACAACATTAAAACATGTATCGATTTGTTGTTTGCTGCGGCGGATGTGGCGCTGTCGATAACGCGGTTGGCAGCGAGGCTGCCGGCTGCCAATTTCGTTTAGGCCGACCACTGGTGTTCGCCACACTAAACAAAGCTATGTTCGTGGAGGGAAGAGGCACAGATGGTGCAGCGAAGCGGTATAGCCATGAAACATACGATCGAGTGGCGCGTGCCTGCAACAACCACGCTGACTCGAAGCGGCGATTCGCGCTATACTGGTGGTCATTTAGCGTATTAGCGCAGCCCTCCGTCTATTAGCGTCCCAACATAGCGTGGGGAAGGCGCCAGCCATGGCCGTGGAGTTGACTCACGAGGTATTGGGAGCTCATCTCCCGCCATTTTCTTGCGTAGCGGTTCTGTTCACGTTGCAGTTGGTCATGGGTGGGACGGCCTCATCAGATATCCATAGACAAGCAGACCACTACGCACTTATTTTCCTGTTTGAAATATTTGTCACCTCCATAACTTGCTCCACAAATTTTCTTCTTTTTGCAATAACTTCCCTCTTTGACCACATGTACCTTCATAAAATGATGTTGTGGATAGTTATGGAAAGAAGGTGAGTATGTCCTCATTCCCACAACACCCAGCAGCGATGATTAGGCCGCACCATTCACAGTTCTGCCAACAACACCAACAGCTACCAAGCCAACCAAGACTACCAGGCAAGCATGATGCGAATGATGTATCACGCTCAGAGCCTCCCCGACGACGAAATGCGTCCAGCGTCGCCTCCAGGCAAACCTGGCGCCAACAGCATGCTGCTTGTACCGGACCTGCAGCCGCTGCGCATGTGGCCATGCCACTACGCCAAGGCGGCGGACGCTCTGGGTTTCCTCAAGGCCATCGACCACCTAGAAGTGAATGAGACGGTCAAACGCCAGGGCAAACTCTGCTACGTGGTGCAGGTTTTCCTCAAGAACCCGGAGATCCGCATCCCAACGTCACGCAACTCAGCTAATCGCCGCTCGTCCGCCGCGGCCGACACGTCTCCGCAACGCCGTCAGAGCGTCACGGAGATGCCGACGCCCTCGTCAGCCCCGCAGGAGTCGGACTACGCTTTGGAGCGCGAGTTCTCCGAGTTCGTTAAGCTTCGCTATAACATCTGGGTACACGCACAGCAGCCGCGTCCCTCGCGCGGCTGCATCTACTGCGATGACATCACGGCGTTCGTAGGCGACTCGAGCAAGCGTCCATCGGGTATCATGGAGAAGATTTGGGCCACCAAAGCCCACCGGAAGGACATGATGGAGGCGTATTTGAACCGTATGGTGGCACTCGCCATCGGTCGGGGCGGCGACGGCCAGCGAAGTCCGCACTGCCACGGCTTCGACCACATCCCATATCGCCTCGTACGTTTTCTCAAGAAGTCCGGGGAGATCAACCACCTGCGCTGAAACGAAGTTAGGATTTAATCTATTGGACGAAGAGTGGGCGTGTAGAGGGAGGGGGCTATTGCTCCTTGTTTGGACACAGGCCACAGATACATATATTTATTCAGTTGATGCAGAAGCACAATAGCTACGTTGCATATGGGGCCGATAGCATTATTTGTGGGAGTCACAACGACGTGCATTCAAGCATGAAGCGGTAAGAAATTCCTCACATGGAGTTCCTGCAAGGAACCCAAGTGGGAACAGCAGATGCCGGTGCTCAGCATCTTCAATAATGGGCACATCGACATGATATCAAGCAACTTGAAGCTGGTAATGTAGCCCAAGCAGCAATTTTTACCACTAAAGTCGAGTACTATAAGCTACGCTTGTGGGATAAAAATTCATTCGCGTTTGCAGACGTCTTGGTTCGCATACTCCACTAGCATTTACAGCACTGTGTGCGTCAGAAGAAAAAAAACGATTGGTAGACATTCCACTTACCAAAATGGTTATGAAAACCCCCGTGTTCAGCTTTTGAATGTGAGCGCTGTGGTGTGGACGTGCACCAGAATCTTGGCGCACCGAGGAAGAACAGTCAAGGCTATGCGCAGGCATGTCTGGCAGTCAAGTTGCTGCGAATATTTTACGAAGTAGTAGATATAAGTTGTATCATACAACGTTGGACGGACAGCAACGCGAAGACTACGCAGTGTTGAAATGCTGCTACATCTGTATTGGACATCGATCGCCATTGACTGTTAACAAGTACCATCGCTTCAGACCATCGCAACACTTCGGCGTCTGTGCCACTTCAGCGTGCGCTTGAATAGGTGGCTGTCGCCAAACAGCAGCAGCTCGTGGCCACATGTCCATATTGCCACTCCATCTCTTGTTTCTGTTTGCGTGATTGCTTCCGCCGACCAACGGTGTTCATCAAGCTCTACAAGATTTGGGGTATCCCAAATCGGATGTAAATACCGATCGCAGGACGTGCGATGCCTTGGCTTCTAGTCCCTCCCAGTCCTTGTCGAACAGTTCGTCCAGCTGTGTGTTCTACGTCGAATGAGGCGACATAGTCTAGGAACGACAAATTGCTGGGGGTGATCATGGAGATTACGAAGGTAGGATGGCACTGAGTGATGGTCAGGTTGAACACCGACCAATGTAATATTTCCAGCATAGCAATCAATTGGATTGGACGGGTGATACAGGCAGGGGCTCAACTCAGCTCACCATGCAACGCCAGTGTCAAATTGTCTTCGCCCCAACCATTCCATTACCATGAGCTTCAGCTCGAGCACAACAATGATGTCCAGCCCGACCTCATCAACCAGTCAGCTTCGACCTCTCAGCGTCGCGTTGATGGCTGTGCACGCTGGGGGAAAGCATCGCGACCTAGTCCGTTGGGGATTGCACGAAGTCGAGTCGATTTCGGTGGCATCAACGTCAAACAGCGAGAATTTGACTGATTCGCACGCCGAAGTCACAGTCTTCATGAAGACAACGCTATCACTTCGTGGCTCTCACGACCCAGTGCATCGCAGTAAGAAACAACTTGCCGACTTCGAAGCCCTCCGTGCAGCAATGTGTCATGCCGTGGACGTGACTCATTTGCTGTCGCGCTGCAGCTTCTGCAAAGCGATAAAGGCACGCTGCGCTGCGAATGCTCAGGAACTCAACGGTTCTCTCGACGGGCAAGCAGACTGGACTCATTTCATTCTGGAGCAGTTCATGAACGACATCCTCGCGCTTCTTGTCCCTCTTCGCTGCTCGTCCGACAAACGCGTGTGTTGCGGAAAGCTACAATGCTGGCAACTTGTATCCCAATTTCTTTGTCAGTAAAATGTGATAATGCTGCTTCGTTTTGATGTATGTGAACTTCAACTTGAGTCATAATTTGGTAAGTGTCATTTCAAATGGTTCGACTAGCGCACACACGTACAGGATACCCTCGTCCTAATCCTGGTCCAGGTCTCGGGACGAGAAGATACTCCTGGTTATTAGAGGGCGTTTGAACAAACTTGATCTGACAGGAGTTTGTCGATTCAACAGTGGGCACTCACTCATCTAATCGAGCGGATTACAACTGTAGCTCTTCGACCAAGAAAGTGATGAAGTCCTTGTAGCTTGCGGAGCATCGCGGCGACAGTGCTCTCTTACTGAGGGTCTTAGGATTCCTCAGAGAGCCGGGGCTCTTGCTAGTGTTGGTCGGCTGCGGCCGCGGGCATCGGAATCTCATCTCGAGACGAATCCGTCGGATTGGATGTCAGTCGTGTCATCTGACGGTCAGGTCCGTGATTGATGATGACTTGAATCCTTCGTTCACATACATCTATTTGCCTTTCTCTCGGCCCCATGGCTCACTTCAGAATTGGCCCCGTCCGGCTCATAATTCCAGCCATGCAGACACAAGAACAAGCAAAGGGTTTAACCCGCTCGTCTTCACGATCAATCTTTCCTGTCGAAACGAGAACGTCACCAAATGCCTCCACCTCCCAGCGTCGTCAGCTGACACTTCACGAAATCGAGAGTCTGGTCGTTTCCGGTGCCACATCGCGTCGTGAGGGCACAAAGTTGCTTACGTACTACACACTTGACGTGTACACCGGGATCTCGACTCCCAGCTCAAAAGACATTGACGCAGCGCGTACTCAGTTAAATGATAGTGAGGACACTCGGCCGCCAGCCTACAGGGTGGAGAAGACGCTAGTGGACTTTGATAATCTCCGTCAAGCGCTTTTCAACGCGTCCCACTTGGCACACACATCCGTCTCCTGTGAATTTTGCAAGGAGATGATGCTGTATATTGACACCGGCGACAAAAAGTTCGGTAGCAGCGTGCTTCAGCGTCTCGTTGGTCGCGAAAAGATCAAACGGTCGCTGCAGCAGTTCGTGGACGGTGTTGTAGACATCCTGATCCACTTTGCCTGTACGGAAGGAACACCGTGGTGTTCTGGCCAAGTCCAGAGCCACCAAGTCGTGCGTCAATTCCTTCTACCTCGTGCTTCGGATAGCTGAAGCCTAACGCCAGGACACCACCTTGGACGAACTCTATTAATTCTTGCTACTCTCTTGAATATCATATCTTATGTTTCCTGCAGCTGACTAGTATTTGTCTTGCATTTTACCGACATAATAGTCACTACATGTACACGTTAAGAAACAAGTAGAATGTATGTTACGTGAAACGAGCGCGTAAGTAAGTGAGTCAAACGACGAGCACAAAGCCTCGACGCCTGCGCGGACTCTTCGTCCTTAGAATGCCCAAGTGAGCTGCATGAAAAGCAGCGTGGCGTCCCTATCTCCTGCGTCGTAAAGGAGTTCCTTTCACGCTAGGCGGGTACGCTCGCAAAAGGACAATCGGCTCCGCGTCCCTATTTCCTGCCATCATGATGGCGGGCGGGTACGCTCAATTCTGCCTGGGTCATTGACCCGTGGCTAGTTGAGCCTTCTGGACGTGGCGCGTCAGCATTCCGCCGGGCGTGCATCGGTCATTTCTATTCCGACGGAAGCGTATTATACTTCATCACGCGGTTGCATGAAGCGAGCCATGATGGCAGCAAACTCCGGGTGATCCTCTGCGCCCAGCTGAGCGGCGAAGCGCATCAGCTGGTTCAGGAACGAGCTCAGCGGCTCCATCTGCAGGGTCATACCGCCCTGCCACGACGGGGCAAGCAGGCGTGGCCGTTCCCAGCAGTAAGCCATGTACGTTGCCACACGTTTGCAGTGCGCGCAGTGGCCGCCACGGCCCACAGTTGACTGGATCTGTGAGCGCAGCTTTTTCAGCTCTGCGAATGTGCACCGGAACGAGTAGTCCGGGGTGCGCTCCTGCAAAGGTTGAGACTGGACGGTGGCGGTCGAGCGGAAGTATACGTGCACGGTAGCGTTGATGCCTTTGTGGCTGTCCGACGTGGTGAGGATGTCGGCGACGGGCTCAGGGAGCGAGTGGTTGCACGGATCACCGCCCATAACGGGCACCAGCGGTTGAATCGTTAGCGACCGCAGCATATCGGTCAAGTCGTGGAAGAATTCTAAGGGATAATTCAAGAATGAAACGTGGGGTGCCTCGATACACAAGTAGAAACGCGTGCCGATGGCGAAGACAACTGCAACACAACCACGAGAACTCTTCTCTCTCTGTAGATTCGGTCACTCTCGCACGAATCTCGCACCGCGTGCGTGGCGGGTGGACATGCGACGCGCCAGCTCTGACAGCTTCAAGCACAAACGACTGGCCCGCACGCGCATTCTGGAAGCGGTACATGTACAGCACCGTCACATATTCAAGTGAGAGGATTTGCAGGGCGAGCGACATGCCCAGTCGTTATTGTCCGGAAGGCTTTGGTTGCGGATGATGTGGCCGCTGCGGAGCCGCTGAGGTGTCTATCTTGTGCAGTGTGACCTGTACGTGAAAACAAGGGGCAGATTGACCGTGACAACAAGTCTGGCGGCAAGGTGGTTGGCTGTTGCCATCGCACCGGACAACAATGTGGTGGATGCATAGGCAAGGATAACCTTCCCGTCTCTGTCTCAGTGGGGGCCATCATCGCTTGAAGCCCATGCTGAGGCTTTGAAAGGCTTTGTGCACACAAGAGGAAGGGGTTGTGCTAAGAAGTTCCTAGTAGGAGCATAACAGCCTTTTACGCCGGTTGCCGAAGCGAAGCGTGCGCGAACACCAAAGCGACAGATAACCTCGAGAGTGGACACTATGCGGTCTCCATTGCACTTCAGAAATGGCTGTAGACGAAGATCGGCGCATCCCCTTTTCTAGTCGGTATGTATACAGTATCATTGCACTGGAATAATTATTATCCGGCGTTTTCCGGTGCGAGTCTAATCTGCAAGATTAGATGCATCGAGTCGGAGTTCTAAACATTCGGGTTTGATGAGCGACGAACGCTGCACCACAGCTTCGAAGCTGTCCGCTTCGCAAGTCATGGCGCCTCAACTTAGCTGCTGTACCTCATTTTCAGTTTTAACGTGAAGCAAGCGTACAACTAAGACTTTTTATCACCGTGTCACCATGTTACCACCGCTCTCCAACAAGCTGGGCTCAAACCTTCAACTGCTGGTACCAGTCACAATTACACCTTCCATTGTGTCGGCTCGACGAAATGCACTGCTGGAACTCAAGAAAGTCGACGCGGTTCAAGTGCGTCGCGCTGGAAATGACAAGAAAGACTGGTTCGTCGTCGAAGTATTCGCCGACTCTGCGAGTTCGGACCCCACCAGTACGGATAATGAAGGAGTGCAGGACGATGCAAGGCTACGCAGACCGACCGTCCGGATCGAACGGACGTTGCTAGAGTTTGTGGATCTTCGCAACAAAGTGTACAATATCGTCCACGACGCGCATCGCTCGGAACCTTGCGAGTTCTGCGCGGGGTTCATGGACCAGGTCGTGTTTGGGGCGAATCCCGACGGATTCCTTGTCGGCTTGTTCGGTGGCAAGCGGTTAGCACGTACAGTGGAGAAGTTCGTGGAGGAGATACTTTCGCTTACCGTTCAGCACACCTCCATCGACGCTCGAGGCTGCTGTTCCGGACAGACCACTGTACCTCAAATCGTCCACGCCTTCCTTTTCAATGCAGCAAATGAAGCTGCCTAGACTGCGATAATAGCTAGCCATGTCCACAATTCTTGTCCGTGTCGTAAGGTGTATCACCGAATAATCGATCCAACTTAATCGCTTTCTCGATGCATCATTGAAGTCGATGCGAAGCACCATTTGATTGTGTCCACAACAAGTATACGCTGTATACACCGACCATCACACGGTTCAGTTGATGTTTAGATGTAGCTGCGCGTGCCTACGCCCTACGCATTTGAAGCCCTTGGAAGCCAACCGAGGGGACCTGCCACGCCATTCTCAAATGTGCCAGGCACTCGCAGCGTCTTCCAGTATTTTGTCCCAGTGGTGGCGTGTGATTTCATCTCGACAATGCTGCCAAACCTGTCGAGCAAATGCAAGCTGCAATTGCTGATCCCCGTGTCCATCGAGCCCGCGTGGGTGTCAGCGCGGCGACAGGCGTTGCTAAAGCTTAAGACCATCGTGGATATCCGCGTGTCGAGTCGCAAAGGCAAGCGTAGCAACGCTCTCTACACGATCGAGGTTTTCCGTAGCTCCGTAGACAGCGAGAGCCCCATCAGCGCGGATCGTAGACCGCTAAAGGCGGCAGTGCGAACGGAGAAGACCTTGGGCGAATTCGCACAACTGCGGGGCGGCATTTACGACGCTGCATGGTCAGCTCACGACTATACGCACTGCGAATTTTGCGCCGAGCTGGTCGAGCTCTATGTGCTGGGCAGTGTCGACCCGGAAGCGTTGACGCTGCGGCTTATGGGCGAGGAGAGAGCACTCCGCAAGCTCACCAAACTGGTCAATGACCTGCTTGCCCTCACCGTGCATAACTCGTCAGTTGACGGCGGCGAGGTGTGTTCAGGTCAAGCTCATATTCCTCAGATGCTGCACAACTTCCTATTTGACACTGAACCAGAAGACACGCACACCGCGTAGAACAAACCTCAAGTACACCCGCTAGTAGTGTAAATATCTTGTCATCTTTCTTCTCTTGTTACCTCGACGTTAAATTATACCGAGCGAGTCTTCGTACTCGCGCTTAAGAAAGTCCTGCAACATCTCGGCCACTTGAACCCGCACTTTACAGTGCTTAGCTACAGCAGACGTCTCGTGAGTGATACTCCCGCTCGTTAGCATCAGTAGATCGTTCACGAACGCTGTGAGCAGCGCGAATCGCTGCTCCTTGTTGCCACACATCCGCCTTACAGTCCAATTCCGGTGCTTCGGGCTGAGAACAACACGCAACAGGTCCTGGCAATCCACGCACGTCTTCACGTGCGCTGCATCGGCTCTTACGAGCGCCGTGACGCGGTCCCGCAACTGGCGGAACTCCGAGAAACGGCGCTCCACTACAAAGTCCGGCTGACGCTCAGCCATCATTACGGCGTGCATGGCCTCCACCGATAGTTTGGAGGCGGGCGTGACCTTATACACGCCCTCCGAGCGGCGGCGCTGCGCCTCGCTGCGGTGGAGGAAGACGGAGGCGACGTACAAGCGATGGCCATCGCGACGGAGCTTCTTGGCCACTCGCACGCACTCGAAACGCTGCAGCGGGAGGAAGGAACCGCTGCGGCTGCGGGTTTTCGGGGAAGGTGTGGATGGAGAAGATCCGGCTGCGTGGAGAGCCACGACCGCAGCTTGGGTCGGCGTGAAGACTCGCGGAGACGTTGCCGCGGAGGTCGGCGCCATGATAAAACAAAATGGAAGGATTCGTAGAATGGCCAATTGTAGGCTTATGCGATGGTACGCCGTCCCATCAACAGAAATCTAGTCCCCCAATATCGTTGGTCGGAAAGACGACGGTTTGATCGTCGCCGGATTGAACTTGATGGAGTGATTCGAGCACGGAGGTGAGCATGGGGGCTCCCTTCGCTTTAATGTTAGGACTTTGAACTCGGTCTTCTTCAGACTGAGAAATGTAGCAATTTTCAAAGATTGGAGCCATCGTCGAATGCTCTCTTGCATGCCAAATAAAAATGTCACCCACAGACAAATGCCTTGCTCTCTCTTTCGCGCGCCACACCCTCATTCGTCTTGAATTATCACGCCCGACCATGATAGCTTTCACCATGAAGCGCCGAGGAAAGCTGCACTCGAGTCAAAGTGGCTGCGATTTGAGGTGGCTACATCCTCACTGCAGTAATGTGCTAGGATGGTCTTGAATGGTCTTGAAGCGATTCTGTAGGCTTGGAACAGCGATCTATGCGGCGATCTTGGGCCAACAGCGGCCATCTGGGCGGAGACTCGATGACGGCCTTTGGTTCACAAGAGATTGCGCCCAACCGCAGCAATCTGTTTGCGCTGTAAACTTCAGTTTACGCACAACCTTCAACTTGTCGTGAACAGTTCAGCGGGCCTACCTTATGATTTTCAATACCTTTCATATCTGCTTCTCAACGCTTTCATTTCACATTGAAACTCTATTTTTATAATCGATCCCTTCCGAAACAGCTTCTTTTCTATTCAACTATCATTTTTGAATATTCTGTACTTCAATTGATTGCTCTTTGTTGCTGGCATGCAAATCAGTGCCGCAAAATCCGTTGCCATGTTCCGTGTGTGTTTCGCTCGGCGACGCTGTCTGCCGCGCGACGTTGTCCGCTGCGAACCAAACGACAGCAACTCCATTCATCTCAGGAATCTAGGTCGCTGACAAATTCGCGTTGCCATCACAATGCCTCGACAGGCTTCGCTGAAATGGCTTCACTACATTGTAACGTCGCCAGATTCTGGCGCCACGCAGTGATATATGCTGCTACCTTTCGTTACTGGTACTTTGCGTTGTCCGAAGGCCACAAACTCCCGCAGAAAGCAACCCCAAATTGCCTTTTGCAGACTGGTGTCACACAGTGAAGCAGCGTCAAGAGTGTTGGTCGGACCGCCTTTCCGACCCACGATGACCGCAAACACCCGCACCCGAAATACACATGCATGCTCCGATCATCTCAATGATCGCGGCATAAGCTGGTCCCTGCTGCAAAGCCTATTCGATGCACCAAAGGCAGTGGAGCTCGCGCTATAGACTGCTGCAGTGCTGGACGGAGACCACGCCAAAACAAGCTCACCAAGGGAGTGCAATGAAACCCCTACCCGCAGATTATGACATACTGGTGACGACCATAATTCAAACTTTCAGCCAATGATAGGTCGAATTTTACTTAAAACACCCTTCCATTGGATGAAAACTCCCGTCGGACCTTGCAGAGGCAGAGACACGGTAAAGCCGTATTACGCGCAGCCTGGCGAGCGGCCTGACTTCACACACACTCATTTTGGAATTCACCTCCAGTTGAATACCGCAACACTTTCCGATCCATAGTTTGCCAACCATGCCGCAGCCTGTCGCTATTGCCTCAGAGGAGCACGCGCCGCTGCAGCTGAACCTGATCCCGCGCCTGGCGCGCAAGGAGTCGCAGCGCGAGATGCCCGTGGACATCAAGGCGCCTCCGCTCACGCCCGTGCTCGTGGAGCCGCTGCGCTGGTCGGCGGCGTCCTTTTCGTTGTCGTTCCTTAGCAACATCGACCGCCTGGAGATCAACGAGACTGTGGAGCGCAACGGCGTCACGTACTACATCGTGGAGGTTTACCAGTTCCACTACAACTCGCGACTACCTACGAACGTCAACAACCCACGCATGGCCGTCACACGCCTGTCGGACGCCAGCGAGCAGCGCGAACCCGATTTCCGCGTGGAGCGACGGTACTCGGACTTCGCCAAGCTGCGTCACCAGATTAAGCTCTGGACCTGCCCCAACGCGCAGTGGACGTGCCAATACTGCTACGAGTACGGCCGCTACATGCGGTTCAAGATGCGCCAGCCGCGCCTTCTCACGTCGCTCACCAACACCAACGTCGAGAAGCGCAAGGACATGCTGCAGGAGTTCATGATCGACTTCATCGACCTCGCACAGAACCCGTCAAAGAACACGATTCACCGCTGCGAGGCCCACCAGCACGTGCCAGCTCTGTTAGAAAGCTTCCTCCGAGATTGAGACACTTCATAGTTTAGTCAGCGTTAGCATAATTTATCATCATACAGACTGTTTTCAACCAATCAGATTCATTGACCACAATCATGATCTTGATTGTGGCGTCCATAAAAAAAAATTGTTTATGGACGAGAGGGAGTTCGAGTTGATCTGCTCGCTGGACGCGTTCCCTGATGCCACGGGGCCGCAACTCTCCGTGTCGGAGGAAACGTTCTCGGTCATCAAGCGTCAGCTGCTCCATCACCAATACCGCTCCGAGTTGCGCCTCCACCGACAGGAAAAGACGTTGAAAAATTATGTAGCACGGTATAGCGCAGGTGAATCCATGCGTCAAATCGCCAAGTCCGTGAGTTTCTCACCGTGTATGATGGCGCGCGTGCTGCTGGATGCCAAGTACGGATGGAGTAAGACCACGATCTCCAACTTGTTTAAAGAAGCCATGAAGGACGAGAGCGAACTGGAGGCGGATGCGCCTAATCATCGAGGTCTCTCAGAGGACGAGTACTCTCGAGTCGTTCGAGAGGTAGGATAGTTGTTATTAGAGGCGCTGATATAAGCAGAACTCGACTCTAATCGCTTGTGAATCACTAGATCCGTGAATGTATTAGCAAGGACGAGATCGGCTCGCCGCTGGCTGACCGTATTCGCCACAATATGGGCGTCGAGTACGAGTATTTGCTGCTGGAGACGTTGCGTAACCGGCAATTGGTATTTGAGAGCGAAGATATGCTTCGTGAAAAGGGGTTATCCAAGACACCCGATGTGAGGCTATTGTTACCGATCGGAGTCAAGAGCTCGAAGACCGGGAAACTGCATGTAGTTAACTGGATCGACAGCAAGGCCATGTTCGGAGACAGACACACACATGAGACGGAGAATGCCAGTCAGGTGAGTAAAGAACTGCTGATATTGGCTTTGTTGCGAGTAGATGTCTGAATGTTTGTATGTGGTAACGCAGCTACAAGGATATGTGAATCGATATGGGCCCGGAATGGTGATTTATTGGTTCGGCCACGTCGCAGAGCTCAGCTCCGACAGCGATATCCTCATCACCGACACATTTCCGCAGGAAATTTCTCTTCCAGGAGCGTTTAACCCACTTGCATCCGTCACGAAGGTGCAAGAGGGTACGGAAGTGAAGTTGCAACCCGCCAAGATCCAAACGAACTTCGATGACGACTGGATTCCCGTCACAATTTGTGAATTGTAAGAATTGCAACAAGAGGAAGGCTGCATGTTTGTTTCTGTGATATACTTGTAATTTAGAGGGATATTTACTCAGTCCAACATGTGCGGGCTACTTGCACAAACTTATCTGCACCTATACATGAATACTGTCTAGCAATCTCTTGCATTGCTAAGCAAAAATGCTTCCAGCATCGCTGGTACGAGCTTCTGCGCCTCGCATTTGCGCTTTCCAAGCGTGGGTGCTCGACGTTGTCCCATTGCCACGAAGTCGTTGATAAATTTTGCAAGAATCTCCTTGCGTTTTTCCGTGCCAGAGGTGAGCTTGACGATGCCGCGTGGCTGGCTGTACTTGTAGCGGATGTAGACGAGGAAGTCCATGCAGTACTGGCATGTGCACTGCGGCATGTGGCTCACAGACTTCAGCACGTTCTCACGCAACTCCTCAAAATCAGCGAAACACCGTTCTACCTTGAATGTTGGGTGTGCTGCAGGGAGGCGGGTAGAGGTCGGACCGCATGTGCTCGCGGGAAGTCGTGACGCGGGTAGACTCAGATACACCTCAAGCTTATAGAACACGGTCTTGCAGTCGACGCGGGTCTCGCTGATCTCAATACGGTCCACACTGTTAAGGAAGCCCACGGACAAGCTCGTGTTCCAGCGGCGATGCGCCTCCAGGTCCAGTTGCAGACTGTGTTGCAGGCCATGTGGCCGCGGCACGGTGGGTAGTTCCACGTCTTCGCCGCTCGTGGCCGCCACCACGATGGCGCAGTCGTGAGGCATGAGCGTTTGCAGCTTCTGGAGCTGCTGACGATGGTGGTCGGCCACGCACATTGCAGTCGATGCGGTCATGCTTCTTTGGGTTGTTAGCTCTTCGAAGGAAATTGAGAAGTGAGAGCTGCGATGTTTTTGTTGGTGGCGAGTGACTCGAAATTACGCAATCGAGAATAGAACTGTTGATTACACGTGAAATGGCGCGAAAAAGGTGCAGGAGGATCAAAACTGAAGTTCCTGTCACATATTTTGATGACGTGCAGCACCTTGCGCGGCGCTGATTGGCTGTTGGAACGACCAAGCAGAAAAACGACCTTCACTCTGCATCTGTCTCTTTCCTGTTATGGCACAACAAATGACTTGACACCAATGCGAAAGGCGAAGCATCAATGAGGTGTGGACAAATGCATAGGCACGTACATGGCGTGACTGGTCCGCAGCGCTTGGCTGCGGTTCTCGTGATGAATCCAAAAGATTCTGCTGGTTGGCGTGCGAGAGTGACAGTTGGCGACCCAACGAGTCACATTGGTGCCTTTACGATGTCAGTACTAATGACTGCCAACAGTGCAGCGTTTTGAGCAATTCCGACGACGTTTTATAACTATAGTGCGTGTCGCTCTTGCACTCTACTCATATATTTCTTGTTAAACACGAAGAAGCTGGCCTGCAACCCGTGCGTGCATGGAGCTCACCACGCTGCTTTCCGGAACCGCGAGTCATTTGATGCAGTTGCACCTCGCTTCTGAAGAGGAGTCCAGGCGCTTTATATCGAGCACGCAGAGCCACTACAGCTGAACTAAGATGCCTGCACGATTCCTGACGATTCGCTTCGTACTAGGTACGCTCAAGCGAAAGGTTCGCCGTGCCAGAGCCGATCCGCAGTGGTTATATCTATATGGAGTGAGATCGTGTTCGTATTGTTTGAAGCAGTTAACACCGTTGGCGCTACAGCACATTTCCAAAAGCGGCATCATTTTGTGGCAAGTGGCATCATTTTGTGCTCTCCACCAGTAGTTAAGGGTTGAAGATTTCCATTTGTGTATGGCGACGCCATGAAAAGATGCTATGAATGCCACGTATCCGGTATCCAAGCACCAGCACGAAGATAGCATTGCCCGGCTCAGTCGAGCAAAATGCACCTTGACACGAGTGAAATGATACTGATGATCTCCCAGAGGGGTTATTACAGCTTCATTTTACCACTCGATAAACCTCCAAGGGTTCATTTTACGAAAGGCGCAATGGAAGACGAATCCCTTTTCCAAGTTGGCGAGAGTGTCGAGTTCTGGCGGGTCCTACTGCATTTGAGCGTCCTGGCTTTCTGTCTCGTGGTTTTCGGGAAAGCTCTTCATGGACTGGAGCACCAATTCCCACCCTCCGACAAGCATCAGCACATGATCAAGAAAGTGTACCGAGAACTCATGACTCTAGGATTGATCAGCTTCGGAATCAAGATCCTCGATGAAATACCCGGTTTTGTCAGTGAGAGCAAATCGATGCTAGCTTTCGAAGTGGCCGATCTAGCCATCTTCTTCCTCACACTCGCGCTCATCTTGCAGTCCACTGTCATCTCCCTGCTACTGCGAAACCAAAACGACCGAGCCGAACGCGCCGAGTTGATCACAACCCAAGATTTAGTGAACTCAGCTAACAACTCGAAAAATTCCGAACTAGAAAGACCATCATTCTTCGGAACGTTGTTTTGCTGCGGTAGATCAGCAAAACAAAGGTCAATCGACAAGGAGCTCATAGAATTGCGGTTGCTGCGTCGCTTGTTTCTGCGTCGCTTTGGGCTTCCACAACTTTTCCCGTTCTCCAAGTATCTGCGTCATGCTCAAGCAACTCAAATTTCTGACATGATCGAAGTGGAGCCGTCCATGTGGGTTGCTCTGCTTGGCGTGGCATGGGCGATATGCGGCGTGCTGAAGCTTCTTGAAATTCTGGACACGGCAATACCTGAGCGTCAAGAGCTTGTGGAAGCATTTTTCATGATTGCGTGGATATTACTGGTGCTCCACGTCATGGTGTTATTATACTTGCGCTCTTGTGTCCACTATCTGTTGCGGACTGCAACAGACCATGACAAAAACACACTGAGCTCAGACTTGAATACCATTGCTGAAGAGGAGACGAAGGCGCGGCAAAACGAGGACGCAGACAAAGCGTTGGAGATCATGAGCAGCATTCAGGAGCAACACGAGGAGTTCGAGTACCAACGACGCAACATCTCGGAGAAGCAGATCGATGGCGTTGCACCGGATTCCCCGAAGATCGACATTCGGTTCTTCTCGTACAAGGCATGGCACGTCGCGGTTATTCTCCTACTCGTTCTTAATGGGTTTCTCATCACGCTGTTCGTGCAATGTGTTTTGTATGATTTGGAAGAAATCTACGAAAACTTCGGTACTCTTGCTGTGGTGTTAGTGTCGCTCCCACTCGCGTTGAATACGTGTGTATTTCAACGTCACATCTTCTACGACTTCGTAATCGTCAGCAGCACGGTTCGCATTGACTCACATACACTCAGTGATGTGGTAGAAAACTTCAGGGAGATCGTACAGCTACGTTCGGAGTTCGCAACCTCACTGCATCAACACATGATGCAACATGAACTCACAATTGAAGACCTTCAGGAAGAATTGAAGGCACGAGACGCTACTGGTACCGGGTACATCGAAGTGGACGACCTCCGATCTGTACTGGGGAAGTTTGGTTTTCGCTTAACACGTTATCGCTTCAATAGTGTCGTGAAGCTACTGTTTGAGCTTCAGGAGACGATGGTCTCGTATGCTCAAGTGGTGCGTCTAGTGGTGATGGCTCAGAGCGAGAATCTCGTCGAAACTTTACCGGTTACTCAACATCCTGCACATCCGTTGCTGCGACCAAGTGTAATGGTATACGACCATGAAGGGCAACCCAGCATGCTCTCTCAGTCAAACTACAACTTGTACGCATCAACGCGACAGCTACCGATGCTTGGCGAGTCGAGTGTGGGGGCAGAACCCAAACCAGACGATTTTGTGAAGAGTGCGGTGAGTAGTTTTGCTCTTCACCCGATTTCACAGCGCGGTGTCAACCCAAATACGCAGTCAGCGATTGTGCGGCCTAGTGTCAGCTCTCAGGCACTGCACGACATGTTTAACCTACACGGACTACCGGACGCTCGATGGTAACTATCTGTAGCTAGTGTGGAGCGTGTGGTAGTCCGTGTAGGTAGAAAAAGCTGTTATAATAGCTTCATAGTAACCGATACAAGACTGGCGCCTCCCATGCATATTCGACAATTTCACAAGATTAATTCAAACTCCACCACCGCTGCGCTGTTTGAAGAGTTACTAGTATTTAACTGGTATAGAAGGTCGTATCTAGCACTGTCTTTATCGTGTTTACTTGCCTTGAAGGTCCGCCTGGGGAGGACTTTCATAAAATAATCGTGGCGGACCAACGTTGACGCTCCGTGGAGACCTTTATGCTGTATTTTTTTCGAAGCTCCGAATGATCATCCTTCGGCCACGCTACACTGTATCGATCGATTCGGTGGGCACAAATTGCATCGTGCTGTATGGAGTCCTTTCTCCCGTTCGCCTTAACGCCACAAACAACAGCTTCGGTCTGTACGGCTGTCCATTTCGATTCCATGACGTGTAGATTTAGGACGTCTTCGAGTCCAGTAAACCGCTTGCCCGTCTCATAGCAAGAGCGACGCCGTTGCCCAATGTCAATTTGGCATCCTAACGCTTGGCACACAGTGCAGCAAACATGAGTTTGCCCGGCTCATAGTCAACGTGCAACACACCCCGGCAAAGCCCATGATGGTGCCTTGCTCATCCGTAAAGCCTGGAGCTGCCATGGTATCCGTTCACCCTGAAAGGCTGTAGCTCATTTCACAAAAGCCAACATGGGAGGCGGATCGCTCTTCCAGGTCGGAGAGAATGTCGAGTTCTGGCGAGTGCTGGTGCAGTTGAGTATCCTGGCGTTCAGCCTCGTGCTTTTCGAGAAAGCGTTGCATCGTATGGAGCTCAAATTTCCCCCTTCTGACAAATACCAGCACATGCTCAAGAAAGTTTATCGAGAACTCATGGTCTTGGGTTTAATAAGTCTTGGACTCAAGATCTTGAAGGAGAGCCCCAATATCGACAGCTACAGCAAGACGATGCTGGCGTTCCAAGTGGCTGACTTAACCATCTTCTTCCTGGCACTGGCGCTTATCGTGCAGTCCACTGCCGTCTTCCAACTTCTGCGTAATCAGAACGACCGAGCCGAACGCGCAGAGCTCATGACAACTCAAGATCTCGTTCATTTATTGAATGAACCCAAGGACTCTGCTCCTTCATCCGCTCAAACGCTACTCTGTTGTGGTCGAGCAGCTAAGAAGAAGAACTATAGCAAAAGACTCGTGGAGTTGCGTCTTCTTCGACGTTTGTTTCTTCGTCGCTTCGGATTCCCTCAGCTCTTCCCGTTCTCCAAGTACTTGAGCCGAGCTCAAGCCAACCAGATCTCCCACATGATCGAAGTTGAGCCAATGATGTGGGTCGTGCTTCTTGCAGTAGCCTGGGCGATCTGTGGGATCCTCAACGTTCTTGAGGCACTTGATGCAGACATACCCGAGCGTCAGGAACTGGTCGAGGCGTTTATGTTCGTCGCGTGGATCTTGTTGCTTGTCCACCTCATGGTTTTCCTCTTCTTCCGCTCTTGTGTTCACTATCTCCTTCGTGTTGCCGGGTTCAATGATGACAAGAAGATCCTCATTGAGAACTTAAATACGATAGCTCAAGAGGAAGGCAAAGCCTGGCAGAATCAAGAAGCAGACAAGGCGTTGGAGATCATGAGTAGCATCCAAGAACAACACGAGGAGTTCGAGTACCAACGCGTTCGACGTCAACGCAAACTCCTTCAGCAAGGCCTCTACCACCGAACAGCAGCGACGATGGGTATCGCACACAAGAGTTCGGAGAAGCTGAGTGAGAGTATCAATGGCGTTGTACCGGACTCCCCAAAGATCGACATTCGGTTCTTCTCGTACAAGGCGTGGCACGTCTCGGTCATTCTCCTACTCGTTCTTAATGGGTTTCTCATCACGCTGTTCGTGCAGTGTGCAGTATACGATTTGGACGAGATCTACGAAGATTTTGGCGCATTAGCAACGGTTCTGGTCCCGCTACCACTCGTTCTTAACGCGTTGTACTTCCAGCGTCACATCTTTTACGACTTCGTCGTTGTGAGTAGTACGGTTCGCATTGACTCACATACACTCAGTGATGTGGTAGAAAACTTCAGGGAGATCGTACAGCTACGTTCGGAGTTCGCAACCTCACTGCATCAACACATGATGCAACATGAACTCACAATTGAAGACCTTCAGGAAGAATTGAAGGCACGAGACGCTACTGGTACCGGGTACATCGAAGTGGACGACCTCCGATCTGTACTGGGGAAGTTTGGTTTTCGCTTAACACGTTATCGTTTCAATAGTGTCGTGAAGCTACTGTTTGAGCTTCAGGAGACGATGGTCTCGTATGCTCAAGTGGTGCGTCTAGTGGTGATGGCTCAGAGCGAGAATCTCGTCGAAACTTTACCGGTTACTCAACATCCTGCACATCCGTTGCTGCGACCAAGTGTAATGGTATACGACCATGAAGGGCAACCCAGCATGCTCTCTCAGTCAAACTACAACTTGTACGCATCAACGCGACAGCTACCGATGCTTGGCGAGTCGAGTGTGGGGGCAGAACCCAAACCAGACGATTTTGTGAAGAGTGCGGTGAGTAGTTTTGCTCTTCACCCGATTTCACAGCGCGGTGTCAACCCAAACACGCAGTCAGCGATTGTGCGGCCTAGTGTCAGCTCTCAGGCACTGCACGACATGTTTAACCTACACGGACTACCGGACGCGCGTTAACATCCGTCCATATCGTCCATATCATACTCGGTGGGATAGTATAAATATCAATGTGCTTGAAGTAAAATGCCATAGCTAGATACTTATGTATCCAAAATATTTCTTTAGAGATGTTGTTCATAAAAAGCTGGTTGTTATGAATGCAGGAACATGAAGATTCATCGTACTTCGAAGTAGTATCTATAGCATGTTCAAAGCATGGCGTGTTCCACGTGTTCATGCTCTTAATGATACTTTGATTCAGTAGAATCGTTTCAGCCGTCACAATATGCGGATGATCTAAGTCACGTCTTCGCTGCTTTCGTTGAACACATTGCGTGTTTGCAAGCTGAGCACAGCCACCTCTGCTAATATCTGTTTTTACGGTGACGAGCGAATTTTCTCGTTCAACAAGAGAAGAAGAGCATGTGACGACCACAAAACACGAAAATGCCTCTTCCAGCGTCCAGACCTTGGTGTATACACCTTTCTACATAGGTGTATACTGAATCTCCTCTTTGTTGTTGAGCCTTGATTGTCTCTACCCAAACCATAATCTTCCGGGGATCCTTTTGTGAACATCCGATGCGTTTCAACGCTGACCTTTTAGTATCGACATGTGTTTGTACCCCTTATAACGAATCCTCTGGTGGCTACTTGAGCCAACTCGGTGGGTCAAAGCCTGAAACTTCATCATTTCGTGATGTGTCCGGGCCAGCCTTTAGCATCGCCACCACAAATTAAAGTTTGAAGCGCCTGTGTCTATCCGTAGCGATGCCATGAAAAGATGCGATTGTTGGCAAAGATCGTTGCTCCACGCCAGTCTTTAGCGTGATCGCGTTAACTCTTTGCCCGGCTCATAGGAAAATAGGGAATGGCAAGGTACAGAACGGATTATTGACGGCGGATTATTGTACGGCACCAACCAAATGCTCAGTTTTAGGATCTTGTAGGGACGTGTGGGAAGACTGCACAGCATCAGGATGGACCCTCGTTACTCCGTAAACCCTGAACTTTCAGGTCTGTAATGTTTGCCCACTCCGGAAGTACAAGAGGCGTTCGTGG